TTTAGCGCCAGCTGACTGTCGTCTGTCGTGGCGCTCAATTTATTGAGTATCGCGGTCCCGAACGACAAGTGGCGCTCAAAAAGTTGAGCGTCTTTAGGGCATTTTCTTTCCAAAAACACCGATATAAATTATCACGGCGAGTGTTCCAGAAGAAACCTTGTTGCTCTCTCTTGCCATTGATACCTTATTTGGATACGATATTTGCCGTAGTGTGACGCTAAAGGCATTGTAAAATACCATCGTTTCGCCTATTCCTTCATAATGGGGCCCGCTCAATTTTTTGAGCGCTCAATTTTTTGAGCTTTTCCCCCTTGTGCGTGGGACTGAAATAGCAGGTCGCGGTGGTAAAGTAAGGGCAAGCAGTCATTGGGTTACACCCTCTCAGGGATCACCGTTTGAGCGGTAGGCCTAATTGGGCAGGTCTGTCATTGGCAGGCCTGGCCCATCTTGCTTATCTGGGTCCACTGGGATGGTCTTTGGCGGTGCGGTCCTCATAGTCTAATGTCTCCACTCTGTCCTATCGTCCCATATCTCAGATCTCTGGAAATGTCTCTTCAGGCCGAAAGAGTTTGCCCCTCCCCCCCCCCTCTAGCCATTTTTACGCCAGTAGCAGCGTTGCCATGGTAGCGTGGCCGAGCGGTCTAAGGCGCTGGTTTAAGGCACCAGTCTCTTCGGAGGCGTGGGTTCGAATCCCACCGCTGCCAGAGATTTTAATACAATCAAGAGAGGAAATTTTTACGTGTAATCGGTGTAATAAGTTTGCTTTTTTAGGGAAAATGTTAAACCACAGTATCATCATACAAGACGGACACTGTATGCATGGCAGAATGTAGAGTAAAACCAAAGAAATTATTCAAAAGTTTCGCCATTAGCTTAAAATGTTTCGGCTCACCCCTAAGTTAACATTCTCATAGCAAGGCTATCTTTAGCGGCCCCCGCCGAAGTTAGTTGGTAGCACTGCTGCTCCACGGCGTACATTTCCTACCAGCCCATAGGGTTTACATGTTAAATGGCCTGTTTTCGGCGAGCGATATCTCGGTCACCCTTTGAAGGAATCAATGGTTCTTGGTCTCAAATGATAGATCGATGAATTTTCTTTCGACAATTCCTCTACCATTTTTCACGAAACCCAGCCGATCTTCTACGGCGTACAGGGTAAAGATTTCTCTGCACGCCAGCACCCGCGATCCGCCTCTCCGATTGTCGACGCGCGGTCCGCGGTAGCGCAGTCGGTAGCGTATCGGGCTACGGATCCGAGGGTCGTGGGTTCGAATCCCGGGAGCGCCGCGTGATTTTGGCTAGAATTGAATGATGTAGATTCTTGAATGTTTGCATAATCAATTATTAATAGCGAATTGAATGTATCTGCCCACTAATCGGCCCCTAAAACATGTTATTTAAGGAATTTAAGAAATGAATGTCACGTGCGCGTCACGACTGCCAACCATAAGCGCTACCATATTCTAGTTTGAACTAACTTTTTGCTAGTCCCGACCACATATAGTAGGTTTTCTAGTAGTTATACTAGAAATTCCTACCAAAGTTCGTCCTACCCTTCACTCAATATACCCTGATCTTTAGTGCACAGATCTTTGAATTAACCAGTCTATAGGATTGCCAGACAAACTGGGTCCAGTGTTCTGGTGGAGAATCATTGGCCATTTCACCAGGCATATCATAAAGAAAAACAATTTTACGAAGAGCCATGCGCTAAGTCTTGATTAAAAGACATTTTTGTGTGAACTGTGCGTGCAATGTGCATGTTTTGTCTGTTGTCTAAAGGTATTGAAATAAATCAAATTTTTAACAGTTCCCGCCTCACAGGTCAAGGTAGCGAAAATAAGGCATAGGGAGTTAGGTACCTACCTGCTCAGGAGTGAAACAGCAGAAAAACGTGACGCTTTTGAATTTTAACACATCTGTCGGACAAGTTTTACCAAAAGTATAAAATGCTCAAATGATAAACGAAGTACGCAGTCATTTCATTTTTCAATAAATCGCTCCTTGAAACAATGGACAGTTACCTAAAGAACACATAAAAATCAGCGTTACCCTACAATATGAATGGCCGGTTAGCTCAGTTGGTTAGAGCGTCGTGCTAATAACGCGAATGTCGTGGGTTCGACCCCCACACTGGCCAAATTTTTGCGACACCGGAGCCAACTGGGCACGAAAATAAAACACTGGGATGGTAAGTAGAAGTGGCAAAATGTCGGAACCCGAGGAACCGGTGCCTAGTGTTTTACATGATGCAACCAATGATGCCTGCAAATAATTTGTATTGGACGCCATTTAATTGCGTCCCAGAAAAGCTATTTCTGGCACCTAAAAGCTGACTCGCCCCAAAATTGGTCCTCAGCACCTATTTGGTGGATACCAGCACCAATCATGGAAAATGACCTTAATTAGCTGTTTCTGGCACCTATTCATCGGTACGCCTTACTCTTTTTTCTGAATCTGGCACCTAAATGCTGAGCGTAGCACCAATCTAGTAGAAAGATGAACTACTGGCTGGTAGAATCATGTTGTTCTGGTATAATGATCCCTGGAGTCTAGCCTAAAGGTTGCCAGTGCAGCTACACTCTAAGACAGCCCCGTAGTGATCTCAGCATTGTATATGACGTTTAAGTAAGCAAATAATATTGATTTGTTTGAAAAAACAATGTCATTTAAATATTTAAAAGTATTTATTTGTAATGCTTAAAGAGAAACATTTTTGTGAGTAATTGTCTCGATTTTGACCATTAAAACTGGTATTGTATTTTTTGACGTCATCAAATAGCTCCAAAAAAGAAATGTACTGTTTTCATTCCGTTCAAGGCCGCTGAGGAAACGCGGGATCTTGCGTGGGACATTGTCCGTTGTGGTCCGTTGTTTGCCGCGCAGAGTTGTGCCGTGGAGCAGAGTTGTGCCTTTTTCATCCGTTTCTTACTTATGTCATATGTGTGCATGAAGCTTTGATTTTGTTTTTGGTTATTGTGTGGCCGGTCAGTCAAACGCCCCTGTAGAAACCGGATGCTGCGTTTGATCGAGATGAAGTCAGACGATGATTGCAGGCCAGAAAGCTAATAATATTGAAAAGAGGGCCGGTTGCGTGGCATGTCTGTTCAGAGTTGACATTTTGCTTTACTCCAGTTTATGACCTGAGAGCCTGGCTGGAAGTGACGGATCCAAACTTTTCACGTTAAAATGGCTGAGGGTGCAATAATCTCTAGTCTCTACATAGCGGGCTGGTATAGGAGCGTCTTGCTATGCTGCACCATAGCTGGCTAGTGATTCTCTTTTGGCTAGAAATGGCATTAATCATTATCTCCACTGGCGAAAATGGCACTTGACATCACCGATGCAACGTCCATGTTGTTAGGATACATAAAATCAGGAATATTAGGTACGCGAATTAGGTAGGCAAACGTGGAATAAAATAGGTGCTGGATGTTTTGGTTTTGGTGCTGAATCAGCAAACAGCAAATACGGAGTTCAACTAGACGATCTGGCAACTTTAGGCTGTGTGGAAGCAATTAGGTGCCAGATTCAGATATTAGGGTCGAATAAGCATTTTGGGGCTGATCAGCAATTAGGTGCCAGAAACAGCTTTTTAGGGACCAGGAACAAATATTCCCCATTTGTATTCAATAACTTTAGTGGTAGGGAGTCCAACTGGTTCTGATTCCAGCTAAGACCGGGTCTGGCTGGTTCTAGAAATGTCCAGTCCGGTCTGGTTCGAGTCTGGTTCCATGCACAAAAAATCACCTTTTGCCACCTATTATAGTAAAAGTTAGCCAACAGCATCATTCGAGTGTTCAGTCACACCATCGTCCTACGAACTAACGAATAATTGGATATCGTAAAATATAAGAATAGGACAAAACACCTAAAACTTACCGATGTTCGCTGACATCTATTGTTCGGGGCACTCACTCTGTTCCGCAGCGCTGTGTCACGATATCCAGCATAGCGATCCTTTGGGCACCATCATGACGGTCTCTGGAACATACCTGAAACAGAAGGCGTCACTGTAAAACTCGCTTTAAAGTGGTATCCTAGTAACCATTCATTAATGGTCAGGCAATTGTACACGTCAATGGTCATCATCACAACCGGAAGTAGGTAGGATAGTAATACGCCTTCGTCCAAGAAAAGTTTTTCAAGTGCCTTACAGTAGCTTAGTTACTACAAAATTATATTAGCTCCACAAGTTTATATAAGATACCATTAGTTTGCCACTAGTCTACATGGATCTGTTCCCGTGAGAACGAAATTTGCGGTCGGGAGCTCAATTCACGAGGTATACCGTAGAACGAACTGCTCAATCCAAGGCCCTTTACATATACCACTCAATCGAGTGCCGAGCCAATGAAAATAAGCGAACCACAGTCAACATACACATCCGAAAATCGGAGGACCAAGATTCCAAGCTCTTGCGGCAAAATAGATGATCCGTTTAATCTTGGTGCGCTTATCAAATGAGTCACTCATTAGTCTGCTATGGTTACGACTTACGACAATGCGTTCAATTTAGTACTAAAAAAACGTTACTCGTGGCGTTATGAATCGCTTGAATAAACGGTTTCAAGCCAAAGATAAAACGCTATTTTTTGTAAAGATAGCGATTTCACTAGGCGCGCGCTAAACAAAGCGCAGGGTTCGCCCATTCTCGCCTTCCGCGGTCCCCAAGGAAAACGGCCGACTTCTGCCCCTATATCAGGCTACGACCGGGATTTCATCGAGTTATGACCCTCCTCCAGCTTCAGCCCAGTCTAACTCACTCCCTAACTCACTCCTTAACTCACTGAGTATCACCCTCTCTCGCCGACAATCGTCTTAAACAATGATAAATATTTCCTAACTACCACCAAATGAATTCATCGTTGACCATCAGCCCCGATGGCATTAGCCGAATATCTGGACGCTGATTGGCTCTCCCGCCCGCCGACTCCTCCCCTGGGACGCGGTGGGCGGGGCTTGCAGCGTCGGCGGCGGCGGCTGCCCTGAGGCCGTGGTTTTCACCCGGCGGCGATGAGATAACGGTCCCAGTTTGCCTGAGGGGGAGAGCGAGTGACCTGGAGAGCGGCGCCTCGGGGCCGTCAGGAGGTCTGAGGTTGACCTGGGGTCGGTGGACCCCCTGAACAGCGCTGGAAGGAGGAGAGAGGACGTGGCCGTGGAGAACCAGGTGAGTGGCGGGATCGGAGAAGAGGGAAAACATTGGAGGAACGGGAGAACTTTGGAGAAGGGGAAAGTGGGATGATCGGAGTTAGCCGTTATGAGCCTCTTATCAGTGCCTTGTTCATCGTAATTCATCTCATGGAAGTGACTAATAAAAACCAACAAAAATCGCACTTATTCATATCTTTTGATGAACGTTAACGTGGTAATAAGTGTCTGAGTGTTAACTGTATAATGTGCTGCGTTATGGCGTTGCATGTCAAAATGAATTTGGTATCGTAAAATAAACCATTATGAATATGGCCGAGACAGACTCTTTAGTCTTCCGGCATTCAGGAAATCGCACGCGAGAGTCTATCCAAAAACATTTAAAATTCGTTTCCATAAATCGTAGCACCCGCGCGGGTGCCAGATCGCGAACGAGAGCTCATCGTCCGTCACCCCGTATCGCCCAAGACCGCATTACTGGATCCACCAGTGACATTGATACGGAGTTCGACGTCTGTCTGTAAAGTTCTAATGATAAAACGGCCTCTGCATTTTGCTGAAGTTCATGTGCCACATGGCCCAGGGGACGTCGGTAGCCGCGCAAGCAAAACTAGCTGGTGCAGGGTAAAAAAGATTTATGCTAACTGAGTGCTCTGGAACGTCTGGAACGTCTAGCTTGAACGTCTCAATTTCATGCTGTGGTGGTGTTAATATAGGGCCACCGGTTCGCATTTCTGCTGACGGCCCAAATTGGCTACATACAGCGAGCGCCGTTCAGTGTTCAGCGACCTTTTCTCGGCATTCTGCCGTCTTCCTGGCGTTTATCGGCCTCACGTTAGAGAAAATCACTTGGGCTGTGTTGCTTAGTGTTTGCCATCGATCGGTCAAGAAACACCAGCATCAAGATTCCGGCTATATCCCATGGCGGAACCGGCAGCCTGTTGATGAAACTGGGCCACCGAACAGAGCTCTGTCAAGCGTGCACCGGCCGCCTTATATCTGGACATGACGATAAATGTCCTTTACAATGAAACATCACTTTGTTAACCCGCGCCCGGCTGGGGGTCCTGGATTTCCACGCCCGGCTGGGGGGGGGGGTGTTTGAACACCCCCCCCCCCTTGTAACTCGGCTCCTGGGCCACGTAGCGATACGCGGAAGGCGGCGTTCGAAAGAGCGTCAAAAATAATGACGAAATCACTTCGGTCAATTTTTTGGTCAGGTCAAAGGTCAGGTCACCAGAGGTCATTGAAGGCAAAATTTCGCCGATTTCCAGGTCGAATGTCGAAAATTTCCAAGAAGCCAACGCATAACTCGGGAACCAATAGAGCTACAGCGCCGCGGAAAAGCGCATTCGATAGCCCTATTAACGCCCTTTCTGAATAATTCTCTCAGATTTGACCTAACGTCAACGGTTTTGCCTGCAGGGGGCAAAAACTGCAAAAATAGCCGATTTTTTCGGAAACAGTTTTTCTGCAATAACTTTTGACCCAAGCCTTGTACGAGCTTACTTTTACCGGCATCGTGTTCCTCTCGTCAAGACGCATCGAATGAACTATAATTTGACCTTTAAAGGTCAACTTGAAAATTTGACCTCAGGTCAAGGTCATGACCTGACCGGAAAGGGTCATGTTGCATATCAGTCGATCCGTATCGTCGAGCTGAACACATCTAAGGCGTTTTCATCGCTCTAGCACGCCTCTATCAAAAGGTATTCGCGAAAAACTGTTAGATATCATTCGTGACCTAAGATGACCTCAGGGCATAAGCAAGGGTCACGGACACCATTTTCATGTTCAGTGTGTCTAAACCACTTGTAATTCGGTGTTTGGGAGTGTTTATAATGTCTTTCGTCCAAAAGAGGCGCATTTCAATTTTCTCCCATTGACTTATAATGGGGAGGTCGCAAAATTGACCTGACCTTAGGTCATCGATATCAAAATTCTGAGATATACATTTTGTACATACTATTGCTCTTAGCAATCGCTGAAAGTTTCAAAGCGATCGGTCACTCGGTGTAGCTATGACAGACATTGAAACTTTTTATGAGGTGAGGTCACTTCAAGTGACCTGGTGACCTGACCTTGAATGACCTTGGTCTGAAATTTTCACAACATGTGTAGAATTGATGTATAATAAGGTGTACCAAAAACGGCGGCGCTGCGCGCCGCCGTTTTTGAGATATTCGCGAAAAACCACAAGGGGGGTGTTCAAACACCCCCCCCCCCCAGCAGGGCGCGGGTTAAGATTATTTTTATTCATCCCGGTAATCATGCCGTATTTTGTCATTCATTGCTGATAACTGATAAGTGACCCTGTTGACTCAGAAACATGGATAAATAAATTCGATAACCTTTTCATCCCCATTGCACACCTTCATTCGCATGTAAATTCAAGTTTTAACTCGAAACAAAAATGTATCGTCATCTACCATTATTGAGCGAAATGAGCCCACGACGAGCCTTCATTTATTTATTTTGACCAATACTTACTCTCAAGAAGCATTGTTCACTTAGTATTTATTTCTTGCACATCCTTCCATGCAGGCATAGTTATTTCAGGATGGCACATGATCTGGGAACCAATGGATCAGGGTACAATGCACATGCACTTTCCTCGAGCCGCGTTCAGGTTCACTAAAGAGGAGAAAAGGAAAAACAGGACCAAGGCAACACCTTAGACCACTTCAACATCAAACTATGCATTTCGTGGTGGCCTGATCGCCCGCTTAAAAGCAAATATGCTGGACATGCCTAGGATCTCTCGGGGCAACCGGTTCCATGCCGAGCCAGCCCTGTACATGAAGCGTTTTTGAGCGGCAATAAGCCGCACTTTCGGTAGGTGCACCTGCTCTGTATCTGTCAGGCGCGTGTCACGAGTCGCCACATCACATCGACGTTTGAACATGTCTTGCACCACGATTGGTGCATGGGGATCGTAGATTGCGCGGTGCACCTTCAGTCGATCACGCTCCTCCACCAGCTCGCCAATCCGTGACCAGTGGAGCGACTTAAGAACTGGTGTGATGTGATCACCGCGCTTCGAACCGGTCACCAAACGAGCCGCAAAGTTAATCATTTGTACGTAGTCGTAACTCGTACACACTGGACGCAGGCAAGGCACAGTCCAATATGTAGCGCAAATTATCCTTATAACTATCACTAATCACTATTACTACCCTCTGGGTCATCTCTAGCATCAAGGTTGGTAGGGAGGGAAGGGACATCTTTATGGCACTTTGTCAGGATACTTCAGGGACTGTCCCGTAAAACAACCATTCCCAATAAGTCTTCCCTTCTTTCTTTCTTTCTTTCCCACTTCCGCACAGTCTCCACGGCCGAGCATCAAATTGGGATTGGATTTCAAGACCACTCCGTCCTCTTCTCCATGCTCGACGAGGAGCAACAATTTGTTCGATCTTTTCAGCTCCCCCGGGCAAATTCGCGCTCAATCAGCATACCTGATGAACTCAATTAGTAAATCGCGTGGAATTGCACTATCAAATATCACGTCGGTAACCCAGTTATGGTAATGTTCTTTGGTCGCGCGCACGCCCGCCAATGGAATTAGAGTCGAGTGGCCGGATGAGCCGGAGTTGCCAGATGAGTCTGAGTTGGAAGATGAGCCGTAGCTGCCAGATGAGTCTAAGCTGGTAGATGAACCAGAGTTGTCGGATGAGCAGGAGCTGCCAGATGAGCCTGAGTTGCAAGATGAGCTAGAGTTGCTACATCGATAGGCCGGACTCGTCAAACGCTGTTATCTGGAGAAATGGTGCCGAATGACAAGTTGTTGCAACTTAAGTTGAAGTTAGCATATTTGTTATTGGTGCTAATGTGATTTGAGTTGAAAAGACGTCAAAATTGGCTTGAAACTTTTCGTCAGCTTTCTGATTCCTTCTTTCCAAACGATTGAGGTTCCAGAGCCTAACTACGCTTAAGCGAAACAATTTAACAATTTACCTTTTATGCCCGTTCCCGTTTCAGTGAAGGATGTTGTGCTTCCATTGCCCGCCTCTGTCGCCACAGTATAACACCTTCTACCGGTTTCCGTTTCAGTGGAGGATGTTCTGCTACCATTGCCCGCCTGTCAGCAGGCAGTACTAGAGCACTTCATGGGCCGGATAAATCCGTTATCCACGGATAAATCCGCCGACCGGATAGGATTGGATTCTAAATTTATTAAAAAAGAACGGATATGGGCGGGCCGGATTTGGGAATTGAAGGTTGAACCCGGATCAAAACGGATCAAAATTTTAACATTCAACATTGAAGTTAAAAATTAACCTAATGTGTTAAGATGTGGTGATTTTCATGTGGTTTTAGGTTTATAAGCATGGTTTTTGGAACCATGATGGTCTGTGAGATGTATGGCTGTCTGGTACCTTAGATTGAATTTGTTAGTCCAGTTTTGGGTGAAACCAGTTATTGGTGAAACGGATTATTACGGATATTTTTTGGAAGTTTGGCTGCAATACGGGCCATGGGTGGGCCGGATTCTGATATTCAAAGAAAGGCGGATAATGGGCGGATCTGGATATGACTTGCCGGATATGGGCCGGGCCGGATCCTAAAAAGCCTATCCGTGAAGTGCTCTAGGCAGTACGTATAACCCCTTCTACCGGTTTCTGTTTCAGTGGAGGATGTTCTGCTATGATCGCCCGCCTCAGTGACTCCGAATATAACACCTTCTACCGATATGTGTTTCAGTGAAGGATGTTCTGCTATGCTATCATTGTTCACCTCTGCCGCTCAGTATAACACCTTCTACCGGTTTCTGTTTCCGTGGAGGATGTTCTGCTACCATTGCCCACCTGTCAGCACAGTACGCATAACACCTTCTACCGGTTTCTGTTTCAGTGGAGGATGTTCTGCTACCATTGCCCGCCTCTGCCGCCGCCTGGCTCAGCGCCAAGAATTTCTCCGATGGAGTTCCCCTACTCCGGAAACCACCCATGTAAGGGACCCTTGATGTGACCATCATTGGCGCTCCCGCTAATTACGGTCATGCACCTTTGCGATGTCTGTCGATCGTCAAGATCGACCATAATTGGTTACGATGAATTTGATCTTGTAATCTTGAAATGAAACAAGCTTACGCGCGAATAAAACTCCGGGCCATTTTGAATCACCTCGTTCCTACGAGTTGTTATTTGTCGGAGTTACATAGCCTAAACATTTTAATATCAATGATTTGTGTCTAGTGAATTAGTTAAGTTTCCGTATCTTAGGTACCACAGAACTCGAGCCACGCTAAATCTCGAGCTGCTTAATTTCCGTGAATTTGTGAGTTAACCTCCCATCTCCACCCGACAGACTCGAGTTACTCATACCACTCCGAGTCACATGACGACAGTTATGTGCGGCGAAAACAGCGCAGGAATCGAACTACCTTCACTCTGCAGCAGGTAAGGGTAAATCAGAGCCAGAGTTCCGCGAAAGCCGAAAGAAATTTAAACTGCAGACTGTTGTACATCTGTTCATTCCATTCAATTGTGAGAAAAAAAAAATGAAGCGTGAATGACTAGTTTGACTTCACATAGTCAGATATCAGCTGAAGCATAAAATTTGTTTCAAAAGCACATTTATTCATTCTCGTAAGTCGTAACCACGATAATTCAACTCAGTATGTCCTATAATGACCAGTGAGGATTCCAGCAAAAGCTCTTCCAATGACGTCATATAACGCGGTTCTTTCAGCTGGAGGAGCTGGAGAAAGCGTTCGTCATGACTCACTACCCGGATGTCTTCACGCGGGAGGATCTGGCCATGCGAATCAACCTCACAGAGGCTCGAGTTCAGGTAAGAATTCTGAGATTTTACGGAATGTGTCTGTGCGCTGTTGGTTATCGAATATTTTGTAACTGTTTGTTCTATTTGTTGCTTGTTGTTGTTGTTGTTGTTGTAAAATATTTCCTGTAGCAAATATTTGTTTCTAAATTTCATTAAAGCATTTTGTGAACAAACATTAACAAGTTCGTGAAGACAGCCTCTAAAATTACTTCTTAGGCTTTCATGCCAAAATAACATTTTCAAACACCGGCCACGGATTGCCTAATAGCCCCGAAACACTCAATACCATTCCGACACGCCATCGTTCGAACCATAATCACTCCCTATCCCCTACTGTCTTCCGCTAAACGATCCAGCGCGCACCATTCTCTCTGGTCCATTGAGTTCTGTTTGCCCTCCCATTGCCGTCCAAAACCACAGGGCCAGTGGCAGCCGACATGTGCCCGACACGTGCCGGTCACGTGACTGCAGGGCGGCCCCCTGGTGATGTCACAGGGGTGCTCTGATTCTCTGAGGGCTTCCTGAAGAGAGAATGACTGTACGAGTACGCATGAGCAGAGGAGGCGCAGTTAGTGACGGCTTTAGAGGGACTTTGAGTGTTCCGGAAGGTGAATATATATCTGAGAGAACGAGTGGTGAAAATCATTTGTTTTTGTTTTTTGTGCTTAAAAATGTTTCATCGCCTACTTTTTGCATATTGTTTCACTCTTCGATATTTTTTTCGATCTTATTCTCCCTCCTCCCCGCTGCCTTTCCTCCCTTCCCAACATTCTCTCTGTCTCTGTCTCTGTCTCTGTCTCTGTCTCTGTCTCCCCCCCCTCTCTCTCTCTCTCTCTCTCTCTCTCCCTGCCTCCCTCCCACATAACCCCTCTCGAACCCTACACACCGCCACACGCCTCCTCATCCTAGCTCACACACCCTGCCGCTCTTCCCCTTCTCTCCTCTTGTCCCCCCGTCTCCCCAATAAATGGTCGGCTGGTCGGCCGCTCTCGTATCGCGCATAATTACCCGGCCACCAGTACGGAGACGTTACGATCCTCCACCGACCAGCGTCAGTCACATCATCACGGACAATTTGCAGCTACTGGGGAGGCCGAGAGGGAGAGGGGACAGAGAAGGGCGGGAGAGAGGCGGATGGCAAAGAGGGGCGGGTCTCCATTGGTGGCCTCTTCCGTAGGTGGTAGGATGGAGGGGTGCTGGTGGAAGGAAGAAGCGAGAGAGAGAGATAGAGAGAGAGAGAGAGAGAGAGGGAGGGAGAGAAAGAGAAAGAGAAAAAGAAAGAGAGAGAGAGAGAGAGAGAGAGAGAGAGAGAGAGAGAGAGAGAGAGAGAGAGAGAGAGAGAGAGAGAGAGAGAGAGAGAGAGAGAGAGAGAGAGAGAGAGAGAGAATAAGAAAGGCTTGGACATTAGGTATTCCCCTTCTGCCCTTACCTTACCTGCTCAGTGATCAACGCTCATCTCTCTGTCAGCCGTTTTTTTTCCACCATCAAAGCTCCAAAGCCCTTGCATTCATCATAAGCAGGATAATAAATACAAATGAAGACGAGGTCTCAGAACTGATTACCGCAAATCCCACTCCGACCACATAAACCAATCACACTGGGCTAACATCACATCTGTCGCATGGCCTCACTCCTCGTTTTAAACCGCACACCCGCCGCGACAAGCAAGCCTTTGACGCCAAACGAAGCGACCATAATCCAATTGAAACCCTGTCCTCTGGCGCAGGTCTGGTTTCAAAACCGGCGCGCCAAATGGAGGAAGAGTGAGAGGTTTAAGGGCGACCCGGCGAGAGGAGAGGAGAAGGGAGAGGAGGGGAGAGAGGGACCCGACGGAGCACCGGCGCACGCGGACAAAATGGAACAGGCGAGTGGGAGAGAAGGAAAGGGGAAAGGCGTAGCAGGCGAATCGACCCGTCAAGTTGGATGATTTTTGCATAATTGAAATTCCTCCATTGTGTGCATAGGATTTTCCGTCTAAATGTCAGGTTACAATTGATGTTGAGATATTTGTTCGCATTTTTTTTTTAAACTTTGGTTTCATGTCTTGCTTTGCTTTTTAGACGAAACTTTGTTTATTGTGATAATCAACGTGAGGATGAGTATGATTCTGGACATTTAGGATAACAATTATTGTTTAGTAGAATGACGTGACAAAAACACCTCGGTCCTCGATGTCACGCCCCGATAAGTTCCCACAGCTCCATCACCACCTTTTGTTGACATTCAAAAAGCCCCTCACTAAAAAAAACTCTCCCAACACCAGGCATCGGACAGAGACCCGGCGCGGGATGTCACAGACCACTCTGACCCAGCGGTAGTGTCGGAGTCCCACCAGGACACGGCTGAGGTGAAGAGCGAGCCGTCGGCTAACGACGAACTCAACGTCGTCACCACCGATGAGGAGAACAGGTAGGTCGGAGGTGTAATTTGTTTGAAATGGTGACAACATGTCCTTCTGATGACTAAGTGATCACATCACTTTCAAGCCTCTGTAACTTAAAAATAGAGCAAAACGAGTCGTATAACTGATATTTTTGCATTTTTGAGCTGCAATATTTTTAAATCATTTATAAAATAAGCCTCCATTAGAGAAAAGAAGCAGATAAGATTTCCATTTGAGGGGGAGAGTTACTAGGTTTTATAAGCACTTGTACACAACTCGTACTCCAAAACTGACTTACCTACATAAAAACCACAATTGATAATAGATTTTCCCACTCACGCCCACAGTCGGACCCCACGCGTCGCCTCGCATTCCGATGACGTCACACCCACACCGCCGCCGTCCACCAATCGGGTGGCGCCGTCGAGTCACGTGAGGTCGCCGGGGTCATGCCCCGCGGCGCCGCCGCCGCCGCCGCCGCCGGCAGCCCCGGTTGGGCCAAGTCCCGCCCTCTTCTCAGCACTAGACCCACCGTGAGTTAAGGGGAGGATGTTAACCCTCGAAAGGATTTTTTAAGGAATATATAGTGACTTTTAAGCAATAAGTGAAATTCTTCTTTCCTTTCCACGTATTACCTTGCATTTTATTTTCTGCAATCAAAGGCGGTACTTTCACACAGCATATACCTGCATCTGCAAATAAAATTAATAACGCAGATATTGCAGCAGTTTCTGGCGCCGAGTTTACAATAAGGACCCGCACCAAACCTGACCCATATCCCGTGCCTTTTTCAGGCTGCGATACCGCTCACTGCTGGATCTGCGACCGGGAAGTGCGGCGTACGGACACCGGATGGCCACTGGCTTCCACCCGCTCTTCTTCCCCTCCCTGGGAACGCCCATGGTGTCGCCGTTCCTCCCCAGAGGTAAGGTGGTTGTTCGTGAGAATCGTTCAGTTCACCTGTTCGATACGGAAATGTTCGTGCGTGCTCGTGATCGTTCACTCGTTCTCGTACTCGTTCTCTTTCGTCACCCGGAGGACCATAAAGTTATTGTTCATATATGAAAAAAGTCTATTCTTGATTGATAGCGAAACGATTAAAACGGGTAAATACGGCGGTCACAGATGCAGCGCAATTCGTCGTTCTCGGCACGTCGTTCACGTAAGGCCGCGTCGGCCACGTCGTAACACCGGGCCGTGTCGCGCCGGCGGAGTCGCGTTCGAGACTGTTCGTACTCAGGCCGCGTCGGCCACGTCGTATGACACCGGGCCGTGTCGCACCGGCGGAGTCCCGTTGAAGACTGTCAGGCCCCCGTCCCGTCTCAGCCCTCGTGGTACGCACAACACGTGGGCATGAGAACCAGGACAGGGGCCAGATGACACATATGTGAGCGGCGTGGTGCGGCGGACCGACCGCCGCGCTCCGAGCGCCGGCCGTCTTTGCGAAGATATCCAAAATGCCTATTTGCTCGCTAACAGTGGTAGGGCACAAGGGCTCAAACTAAAAGATTTGGCAGCGGTGGGATCCGAACCCACGCCTCCGAAGAGACTGGTGCCTTAAACCAGCGCGTTAGACCGCTCGGCCACGCTACCATGTTCTGCAGTCATAGGCGTCCAAAATGCACTGGGGGGGGGGGGGGAGGGCGAGCATGTGTTTAGTGCCGGCCTGTAAATATTATACAAAAGTTGAAAATCAAGGGAGAGTACTGACCTGTAAAAATATTTTTAAAAATATTAAATAAATATTAAAAATAAAAGGTATGGTAGAACCAAAGCGTTATATAAAAGAAGTCTATGCTTTCTGTTTAGAAAATGCCTGGAGCGACCAATTATACCAATATTCCGGCTTATGATGTTTGAAGTGCAATTGATGTGACTTTTCCATTTGAGGTCATTACCGATTAATACACCAAGGTATTTCACTGTTTGTGTTTCTTTAATTGTAATTCCATTCATTTGGATATTAAAGGGACTATCCCACCTTTAACATGGGGTTTGAGTTGAGATAGCCAAGTTTGCGGCGAGGTTCAGAAACCACTATCTATCTAGGCTGCAACCCCCGCGGCCTCTTGGTGTTGAAGAAATTCGTTCCCTTCATTTGAAAATGGGCCTTGTACAAGGCCCTATCTTCAACATGGAGCGACCGTTAGTGTGACGTCACCTCGTTTAGTCATTCTGATTTAAATGGGTTTGTTCGTTGAAAAATCGCTTAAAACTTGGTCTGAACTTTGTTGTGGTGCCTACAGAGTAAAAAGAATCAGCTTTATGACAGTAATGTGGCCTGGGGAAGGCGGTAATTTTGGACTGTGACGTCACATATTTGAAAGTTTGTGTTTGGAATATGGGAAGCATAAGATGTTTAATGAAAAATAAATGCCAGAACCGTGTTCCTGGTCATCCAAGCTATAAAGTCGGGCACAATTTAACTGGTTTTAACAACATTTTAGAAGGTGGGATAGTCCCTTTAATTCAATGTAGAGTCTTAAAAATGCATTGGTATTATCTAAACAGATGTGTGCCAGCTTGCCACACAACGTCTTTTTCCCGATGCTGTCGGCATAACGCCGTCACGGCCGGTTAGCTCAGTTGGTTAGAGCGTCGTGCTAATAACGCGAATGTCCTGGGTTCGACCCCCACACTGGCCACACGTTCCTTTTTCTTACGAGGTGGGGTCTAGTTCTTCAGACGTCTTAGCGCCGAAGTTCTATTTCTATTTGAAATGATAGAATGCCTATAAGCATACGACTGAGCTCCGTATGAGCTAGCCAAATGTTGTACTTATGATTGTCACCTGACCTTAATTTCCAGAAGTTGATTTCGAGGCTTGAGCTAAATTCAGTTTTTTTTTTGCATCCTTTCCACCTTCTACCAGCGAACTCAGAAATATGTTACAAAATATTGTAAGTACCTGTCTGTAGTTCCCTCACGATCGCCGTTAGTCAAGACACGTGTCGCAGCTCAGCAAATGGTAAAAAGCCAGGTCCCGCCGAGATTTGAACTCGGATCGCAGGATTCAGAGTCCTGAGTGCTAACCGTTACACCACGGGGCCGATGAGCGCCGTGAAAGCGCATGATTTGGCACAATAATTCGTGACTTGAGGTTCAGGGTAGCATTAATATCTAATACGTTTCAATAAATTAACTCTAAGGCGACCTTACGTTCCGTGACCGCTGCATGTGATTGTGTGCTCGTCCCATATCTTGTTTGTGACCAAGATTCTATACAGATAAAGTTGGGACGCTTCACGCTAGTCACGTGATCCTTTTCCCTGCTTTTCCCAACCCTACTCACGATTTTCATAAGTCTTGATTTGATTTATTCTTGAAACACTTTGTACAGAGGCGTTTGTAGTTAATGTATTTACAAGAACTAATTCAATGATATTTGAAATTAAAAACACATTTTTACTCGCAATCTCAAACAAAAGTTGAATTTATTCGCGTTTCATTAATTTACTCAGCTGGCAACTATCACCCATAGTCCTTGATGTAGTCGAGTTTGGCGCACTCGGATAGTGTTCGAAATTTGTGACGCCTACTTGCTGCTATGGCGACCGGGCAGTACCTACGCTTTTCATTGGTCAACAATTGCTTGCAGAGCTGCCGCTCACATTTTTGAACACAGTCTTTATGCGTCAGTTTGTGTGACGCGTCATATCTGAAACATGTTTCGTGAGGCTCAAACACCATTCAATTCATCTGCTTCAAAAGAAGTGTTTTGTAACATTTTCGATATGTTTTTTGGGGCTTAATTGCTAGCTCCATTCATCCTATCCTGCGTGAGGATAGCCATCACTCGGGGACCAGTTGTTGAAAGCAAGAAACAACGACGAGGAGAAGGTTTTGTAAAAAGCCGCAGCGATTGCATTGAGCATTAAATGACGAAAATATTTTTTACATCCCACCGCCTCAGGCGATCACGTGCCGTCACCCACCTGGTTTGTGACCACAATCTGATAGCATTCCCCCAATTTCGTTGCTTTTACCCCAAAAGCTAGGTACTTTCAGCGGTCGTGGCCGAGTGGTTAAGGCGTCTGACTAGAAATCAGATTCCCTTTGGGAGCGTAGGTTCGAGTCCTACCGACCGCGTGATGGATTTCAATAAATTTTGATGACCTGGGGTCAAGGAAAAAGCTGTAAACATGATCTGAAATCTCACAGGAGGCTCTTGGACTTTCTCATTCACCTAACATCATAAGAAGTCGTCAGTTGCGACGCAAGAAAGGTCATCATGACAACGATGCTTGTCATGATGAACGATGCTTGTCAGGCAAAGGATCATGCCAATCGTCACGGAGGTTACCGAAAGCGTAATGCACGAGGCGAAGTAGGTATCGTGTTACCCGGCACAGCATACCATCCGGCGCTAAGATCAGCGACATCTATGGACTGAGGTATCGTGTTATCCGGTACAGCATGCATTCAGGCGTTCAATACCAGCGACATCTATGGGGAGAAATGTCGGCACCGAGCCGAAGGACAAAGTTTTGGGTGGCTGTTGAGGTAACCGGACAAAAGATCGTAAAGCAGAAGATCGTATGGCAGAAGATCGTAAACAGTTGATCGTATGCAAAATATCGTAATGGATAAAGATCGTACGACATAATGCTCGTATGGACAAAAGATCGTATTCGCTAAAGATCGTCAAGGAAAATGATCGTATGCCAAAAAGTCGTAATGGATAAAGATCGTACGACATAATGATCGTATGGACAAAAGATCGTATTCGCTAAAGATCGTCAAGGAAAATGATCGTATGCCAAAAAGTCGTAATGGATAAAGATCGTACGACATAATGCTCGTATGGACAAAAGATCGTATTCGCTAAAGATCGTCAAGGAAAATGATCGTACGCCAAATGATCGTATGAGATAAAGATCGTACAGTCAAAATATGGTATTCACATGGTGCAGCCCAACTCCAGCGCATACAAAGCTTATCAATTTGTGTTCGCGTAGTAAGTGGCCGTCGTAAGCTCGACCATACATTGATGTTATTTCAGAGCTTAGATGGCTCAATGACACCTAAAAGCAACGCGTTGTATATGTTACAGGGAGTTTGAGAAATCCGTGAGTTTGCAAACTCCCTAGTGAGTTTGCAAACTCCCTGACCGATCAGTGAGTTTGCAAACTCACTAGGGAGTTTACAAATTCACTAGGGAGTTTGCAAACTCACTGACCGGTCAGGGAGTTTGAGAAATTCCAGAGCGTTTGGGCCAAATAAAAACAAGTGTGCAGCATGTGGGTGGCATACGTGCCGTCCGTGATGTTAAAACAAAGGTGGCTAGTTGTAGGGCCTCGCACGCTGACAAAAAGCTTATAGATCATATGCACACCATAAATACCCTTTTTATTTTAAACTGCTCAGTGATCTATCAATGCATGTACCGCCTTATTTAGTCATACATTTATTTAGTTCACGTCCCAATTAGATCCGTTCCACTCAAGTGTGGCTGCTCAATATCAAAGTAGAAACAGCTCACTGTTTTTTTTTTCGAACTGTTGGTCACTTATGCTAAAGTACAGGCACACGCACCAATTCACGCCCATTCCCACTCCGCTAGACGTGTCATCGAGAGTCGGCGCTGCACTGGCAGCCAGCCCAGCTGCGACTGGCGCACGCTGCTTGTTTGTTTTTGTTTTGTTGGGTTAGGCCCTTTCGGTCTGACAAGACCATTTCAGAGCCGGACGAATGATAGGAATTAGGGGGAGACATTGGTCTGGGCAGGCACCCTACAGAGTCGCCGGGACTGAGCCCGTCCGAATGGACGGACCGACCAGCCCCCAAGCACTCTCTGCACCCGGCTACGGGGTGCATTCTCTCGGGAGTAGCGGTGCCACTCCAAGGGAGCAGCCCTCATGAGATAAAGTTGCCTGTCCAGCCCGGAGTGGGGGGTTTCGGCGTGGAGGAGAAGTATTTCAAGTA